CAACGGCCTGTTGATTAAATTACTATCAATCTACATCATGTTTGAATGATAACATCATGTTTGAATGATAACATCATTTTTGAATGATAACATCATGTTTGAATGATAACATCATGTTTGAATGATAACATCATGTTTGAATGATAACTTCATGTTTGAATGATATCATCATATTTGAATGATAACTTCATGTTTGAATGATATCATCATATTTGAATGATAAATAACATCATGTTTGAATGATAACATCATGTTTGAATGATAACATCATGTTTGAATGATAACATCATGTTTGAATGATAACATCATGTTTGAATGATAACATCATGTTTGAATGATAAATAACATCATGTTTGAATGATAAATAACATCATGTTTGAATGATAAACTGATGTTGTAACAGTAACCAATATTTATTTATATGAGGAAAAATTCACAATTAAAAAAGGTATATATATTTAAATAACTTTTCTTTTTTTTTTTTGTAACTGGTGGAAAAGAAACAACAAATCTAGTATAAAAAATCATCAAGTCCTAAAAACTTGATAAGTTTTATAAACCACATTACTCGAGTCCTTCATTGTATGTTTAAAAAAGATGGCAGCTTATTTAGTGTTACGGTAGAACTTCGATTCTCTGAAAGTCGATAATCGAAACTCCCCCTTGCTTTTTTTTTTTAACTACGAGCATTGCCATGCATTGAGAACTGACTAGAAACACTGAAGAACAGTTCCGGTAAAATCTGGATCAACGTTTCCTTCAGAAAATTTCTCCCGGAGGGGTATTTCAGATTTTCCCCCAGGAAACAGTGTTTTCAGTAACAGTGGCAAGAGGCTTAGCTAAAAAGGGTGGGGGGGGGGAGGGAAGACAGATATCCCCCATGCACCATGCTAGCGGGGCGACAAACAAGGTTGTGAGGGTATTTCATGTATCAAAATAATGGTTTTTAATAGTTGGGGGGGGGGGCGCATGAAGATGAATCAATGTCCCCAGACGCCAAACACTCCAGCTACGCCTCTGAAAGTGAGTTGAGCGGGGTGGTCAGAGCAGATGTCAATTTTTCTCTGAATGGAGGGGAGGGATTTTATGACAAATGCAGAATTTAATAGTTGGGGGGGGGGGCGCATGAAGATGAATCAATGTCCCCAGACGCCAAACACTCCAGCTACGCCTCTGAAAGTGAGTTGAGCTGGGTGGTCAGAGCAGATGTCAATTTTTCTCTATATGGAGGGGAAGGATTTTATGACAAATGCAGAGTTTCTTTTGTTAATTGAAACTTGGCATAAGTGTTGGAAAGTATAGGGTAGAACTAACACTGGCTACTCCACAAGGTAGTGTATCTATCAACACTAACACTAGCTACTCCACTAGGCTGTGTATCTATCAGCAATAAAATTGGCTGCTCCACTAGGCTCTGCATCTATCAGCACTAACACTAGCTACTGCACAAGGCGTGTATCTATCACCACTAACACCAGCTACTACATTAGGTTGTGTATCTATCACCACTAACACCAGCTGCTCCATTAGGTTGTGTATCTATCAGAACTAACACTAGCTACGACACTGGTTTGTGCATATATCAGCACTTCACTAGCTACACCACTGGTTTGTTAATCCATCAGCACTAACACTAGCTACTCCACTGGTTTGTGCATATATCAGCACCTCACTAGCTACACCACTAGGATGTGTATCTATCAGCACTAACACTAGCTACACCACTGGTTTGTGCATATATCAGCACCTCACTAGCTACACCACTAGGATGTGTATCTATCAGCACTAACACTAGCTACACCACTGGTTTGTGCATATATCACCACTAACACTAGCTACTCCACTAGGCTGTGTATCTATCAGCACTAACACTAGCTACTCCACTGGTTTGTAAATCTATCAGCACTAACACTAGCTACTCCACTGGTTTGTAAATCTATCAGCACTAACACTAGCTACTCCACTGGGTTGTTTATCTATCAGCACTAACACTAGCTACTCCACTGGTTTGTAAATCTATCAGCACTAACACTAGCTACTCCACTGGGTTGTTTATCTATCAGCACTAACACTAGCTACTCCACTGGGTTGTTTATCTATCAGCACTAATACTAGCTACTCCACTGGGTTGTTTATCTATCAGCACTAACACTAGCTACTCCACTGGTTTGTAAATCTATCAGCACTAACACTAGCTACTCCACCTGGTTGTTTATCTATCAGCACTAACACTAGCTACTCCACTGGGTTGTTTTTCTATCAGCACTAACAATAGCTACGCCAATGGGTTGTTTATCTATCAGCACTAAAACTAGCTACTCCACTGGGTTGTGTATCTATCAGCACTAACACTAGCTACTCCACTGGTTTGTAAATCTATCAGCACTAACACTAGCTACTCCACTGGGTTTTTTTATCTATCAGCACTAACACTAGCTACTCCACTGGCTTGTTTATCTATCAGCACTAATACTAGCTACGCCACTGGGTTGTTTATCTATCAGCACTAACACTAGCTACTCCACTGGGTTGTTTATCTATCAGCACTAACACTAGCTACGCCACTGGGTTGTTTATCTATCAGCACTAACACTAGCTACTCCACTGGGTTGTTTATCTATCAGCACTAACACTAGCTACTCCACTGGGTTGTTTATCTATCAGCACTAACACTAGCTACTCCACTGGGTTGTTTATCTATCAGCACTAACACTAGCTACTCCACTGGGTTGTTTATCTATCAGCACTAACACTAGCTACTCCACTGGGTTGTTTATCTATCAGCACTAACACTAGCTACTCCACTGGGTTGTTTATCTATCAGCACTAACACTAGCTACTCCACTGGGTTGTTTATCTATCAGCACTAACACTAGCTACTCCACTGGGTTGTTTATCTATCAGCACTAACACTAGCTACTCCACTGGGTTGTTTATCTATCAGCACTAACACTAGCTACTCCACTGGGTTGTTTATCTATCAGCACTAACACTAGCTACTCCACTGGGTTGTTTATCTATCAGCACTAACACTAGCTACTCCACTGGGTTGTTTATCTATCAGCACTAACACTAGCTACTCCACTGGGTTGTTTATCTATCAGCACTAACACTAGCTACTCCACTGGGTTGTTTATCTATCAGCACTAACACTAGCTACTCCACTGGGTTGTTTATCTATCAGCACTAACACTAGCTACTCCACTGGGTTGTTTATCTATCAGCACTAACACTAGCTACTCCACTGGGTTGTTTATCTATCAGCACTAACACTAGCTACGCCACTGGGTTGTTTATCTATCAGCACTAACACTAGCTACTCCACTGGGTTGTTTATCTATCAGCACTAACACTAGCTACTCCACTGGGTTGTTTATCTATCAGCACTAACACTAGCTACTCCACTGGGTTGTTTATCTATCAGCACTAACACTAGCTACGCCACTGGGTTGTTTATCTATCAGCACTAACACTAGCTACTCCACTGGGTTGTTTATCTATCAGCACTAACACTATTTTCATCACCAAAAATTTCCTTATAAAAAATTATGACCACTCTCCAGCGGTACTGTTATTTTATATGGCAGAAGGGCAGAAATTGAGTGCACTTTTGGCACTTGAGTAAAGGGAAGCCGTCATGTCAGTAGGGCCCTAACTTTAGGAATTTACATCAATAAGGCCCTAACTTTTGAAAATTACATCAACAATGCTATATCTTTTGAACATCACATAATTAAGGTTCTAACTTTTTAATTTGACATCACTAAGGCCCTAACGTTTGAACATTACATCAATAAGGCATCAACTTTCCAAATGAATGTTTTATATACAACCTTATAGTATTTTATTTTTAAAGTACTACAAATATTACCTGTGTGATGATTATTACCCCTGCAGCTACAAGACACAGGTAGAAGTAGGCAGACATATTATTCTAGTGCAACTGATACGTCAGGTAGAGGGGTTCATGGAAGGGCGAAGCTTATGTACCCACTGAGTGACATGCCAATCATGTGTATGCCTGGTTGATTTGTCAAGTGTTGATCTATTTATAGAAAAGTGGACCATTTGTTCTCATTTATGTCTTTTAAATGCTCCAAAATATTCCGACCCTCCTAGCCCCAAACTGCAACTCTCCTTCCCAAACCTCAACTCTCTTCCCCAAACTGCAACTCTCTTCCCCAAACTGCAACTCTCCTCCCCAAACTGCAACTCTCCTTCCCAAACTGCAACTCTCCTTCCCAAACTGCAACTCTCCTCCCCAAACTGCAACTCTCCTCCCCAAACTGCAACTCTCCTTCCCAAACTGCAACTCTCCTTCCCAAACTGCAACTCTCTTCCCCAAACTGCAACTCTCTTCCCCAAACTGCAACTCTCTTCCCCAAACTGCAACTCTCTTCCCCAAACTGCAACTCTCTTTCCCAAACCTCAACTCTCCTTCCCAAACTGCAACTCTCCTCCCCAAACTGCAACTCTCCTCCCCAAACTGCAACTCTCTTCCCCAAACTGCAACTCTCTTCCCCAAACTGCAACTCTCCTCCCCAAACTGCAACTCTCCTTCCCAAACTGCAACTCTCCTCTCCAAACTGTAACTCTCCTCCCCAAACTGTAACTCTCCGCCCCAAACTGCAACTCTCCTCCCCAAACTGCAACTCTCCTCCCCTAACTGCAACTCTCCTCCCCAAACTCCAACTCTCCTCCCCTAACTGCAACTCTCCTCCCCAAACTGCAACTCTCCTCCCCAAACTGCAACTCTCCTTTCCAAACTGCAACTCTCCTCCCCAACTTTCAACACTCCAAATCCCAACCTCACAAACTCCCTCCACCCACGTTTACAATTTTATAATCAGTTAAATCTTCTTACTCAGCAGCTAGCAACATTACGACGCCAATATTACGACGCCAACATCTAGACGACGCCAACATTTCTTTAAACAAGCGGGAATTATCTTGCCGAAACCACGCCTTCCATCACGAAACCACGCCTTCCATCGACCTGGGTTTCGAGTAATAGCCAAGCTAAACCAAATGATAGTTTACTACTTAATTATTAAGAGTGGATGGAGGGGAAGAAGCACGCGAGGCATATTGGATGCAGGTGTCCCACTTGTCAGACTTATTCGGTGAACAAAATCAACATTTTCACATCTACTTTATTCGTAGAGATGCATGACATGAGTTTCAAAGATGACATGAGAGGGTGTTTCTAGCCACCATGACATTTGATCAAAGTGTAACCCCGTCTAGTCTGGGGTCCTCTGATCAAGTGTCCTCTAGTGGGGTGTTCTTCTGCCTCCTCCCGCTGTTGTTTTCTCGCACCTTGAGATCCACTGGTATCCTGGTCTGTTCATGGGCGCCCCTCTTGCACTTCTACCTGACGCGATGGGAACCTCGTACATGTGACAGTAGGTGCCAGGCTCACAGCTACAGTAGCCGTTCATCTTGTCATACGTCACACAGCCACCACCCTCTGGGGTGTATTTCTGACAGGTTCCTGCAATAGAATTTACAAGGACACATTAGTAACTGATGTTGTGACACAGGCACGTGTCTAATAACGTGACACACTGACATACGTGAGTGATCACTTGACCCACGGACACATTAGTGACTGAGGATTTGACACAGGGACACACGTGACTGATGACGTGGCACACGGACACATTAGTGACATCTATAGAGTTTCGGAAAAATTGCGACAGGAAATTTCTGAACATCATCAAAAAGTGATGTTGATTTTGGATACATGGAATTATTATGCAACACCTAGAGGTCTAGAATTTGCAGAATCTATAGTGACCTCGACTCCTAAGTGTTGACCTTCAACAAACAAACAAGGCTAACATCAATGGTAGTAGAAGACTTTAGTCTTACGGAGACAGGGGTGAGGGGGGAGACTGAAAATAGCGCCCAGTTTTCATTAGCGGCACACTACAAGCATATTCATGCAAAAAATATACTGAATAACGTAATGTCGTTAACGGTCACTGTGGCGCGTAATGATGAATATTATAACAGTACCGTGTATTGGACCACATTAACTGTCAGTACTGGACACATGTCTGTACCCGACACATGTCTTTGCCGGGGACATATCTGTGCTGGAGTCGTATCTGTACCGGACACTTGTCTGTGCCGGACACATGTATGTATCGTACACATGTCTGTACCGTACACATGTCTGTACCCGGCACATGTCTGTACTGGACACATGTCTGTACCGGACACATGTCTGTGCCGGAGTCATATCTGTGCCGGACACATTTCTGTACCGGAGACATGTCTGTACAGGACACATTACTGTGCCGGACAAAATTTCTGTGCTGGACACATGTCCTTACCGGACACATGTCTGTACCGGAGACATGTCTGTACCGGAGACATTTCCGTACAGGACACAACAGTTATCGAAAAGTTTGACATCTTTTCAACAATGCCCCACTTCTAGCAACATGGTTGACGTGTGTACCCACGGTGAACTACCGTGTACTTTTGCTCCGCTTCGGTGCATTTAGTGCGGCACACCTTGCATCATCTTGCGCCACACCAGTGCGCTGTGGCGCGGCACATCGGCCGCGAAGCTGTGCCTTTAAAAATTCAATATTCTGTACATTTAAAGAAATCACTGAGGTCAGGGCGATCTGCTTGTGCTTGCTTGCCTTGTGTAGGCTGTCTTCATAAATGAAGGAAACGAATTGTTTAAATCAACAGTTATATTTGCGTTCGATAAAAAGAAGAAGACAGAATACAAGGGAATACCATCCTAGTACTATTATAAAGCATTTCTCACTCACCCGTCTTCGGTAACAAGCCATTAACAACTGCCCTCTTCTTGCTGGCCACCATGAACTCACTTAAGATCTGACAACACTCTCCCGCGTCACATTGATCTTCTGCTGTGCATGTCGTGCCTACTGCAGCCTGGTGGATTACAATATGGCTAGAAGTAGTTCTAACTGAAAGGTCGTGGTTTGTTTTTTGTTGTTTTTTTTTTTTTGTGGTGGGGGATGGTGTGGGGGGGGTAGGTTTACTTATAACTAGTACATCAGAGGGATTAAGGATTAGCCTAAATTGAAAATCAGTGGCACATATTTCTTTGGTTAAACGGTCTCAGTTTTTCGGTGCTCTAGCGCGAAATCCAAAGGATTGCATTCATACGGCATGAGCCAATCATTAAAATTACTGAAGTGAAAATGGGTTCTGGGTGGTCGAGTGATTTGTGAACATGGGTGCTGGGTGGTCGAGTGATTTGTGAACATGGGTGCTGGGTGGTCGAGTGATTTGTGAACATGGGTGCTGGGTGGTCGAGTGATTTGTGAACATGGGTGCTGGGTGGTCGAGTGATTTGTGAACATGGGTGCTGGATGGTCGAGTGATTTGTGAACTGAGTCAATCCCTAGCTTGTGATCCGGCGTTCATTTAAACACCCGAATGGATGGGACAACACCAGCTCCCCGGGTGGATGGGACAACACCAGCACCCCCGGGTGGATAGGACAACACCAGTACCCCGGGAGGATGGGAAAACGCCAGCACCCCGGGTGGATGGGACCCGTTATCCTTGGATAGCAACTCATCTAAGAAGAGGAAGTTCTGGATGAAAAAACCCGGAGAAGGAGTCCTGCAGGCGGATGCATTACTACAATGAATAATTCTGACAACTGCCACGTAGCTGGTGCCAAGCTGTAACATCTAAATAAGATGTTCCCTTGGATTATCCAGGTGTGTGGAGAGGCGATTTGTTGCCAAGCTGTAACATCTAAATAAGATGTTCCCTTGGATTATCCAGGTGTGTGGAGAGAGGATTTCCTGTCCAGGGCACCAGCTTGTCCTCACAGGCCTTGTCATTTCGTTTACAATGTGACGGACGGATTCCAGCATGAAAATGTGAACAGCTCCTGACTCTGAGACGTCCTATAATGCTAATGTTTGAGATCATGATCATACCATTGGGATAAACATGAAGGCATAGCTGACTTACATAGCTGACCTACAAAGCTGACTTACATAGAGGTCTTACATTGATGACTAACATTGATGACTTTCATTGATGACTTACATAGCTTACTTACAAAGCTGACTTACATAGAGGTCTTACATTGATGACTTTCATTGATGACTTTCATTGATGACTTTCATTGATGACCTACATAGATGACTTACATTGATGACTTACATAGATGACTTTCATTGATGACTTTCATTGATGACTTACATAGATGACTTACATTGATGACTTACATTGATGACTTTCATTGGTGACGTTCATTGATGACTTACATAGATGACTCATCCCTTACATAGACTTACATAGCTGACTAACATAGACGACTTAAATAGAGTACTTAAATATATGACTTAAATAGATGACTTACATATGCTCCAGTAGATAAACATGCTATAGTAAGGATTAGAGCAAAATCCATTGTGTGGGAGAGATCCAGATCGAATGACTCATTATACAGCCTCGATATCTTATCTCAAAAGTAAGGTCAAGGACATCACCAATTTTGATTTTGTAATAGTTGCCGTGGGATTGTGGGATACAGGTAATTTTGTAATGAGCGATACGAGACTTATGTTTTGGGGGTAAATCTATCTGGATTGTGGATAAAACTATGGGATTTCCGAGCTTGAGATTGGGTTAGGACAACAGATCTATTCAACGAAATCTGACATATTTCTGGAACTGTCATTTGTAATTTAATATTTAAACTACATACGTCGTTATTAAAAAGTATTGAGGTCATTAAAGAAACTCTTCTTTATAGCAGTGGTTCCCAACCTGGGCTGGTCTCAACCCAAAGTTGAGCGATGGTTATTAAAACAAGGGAGCATTTGAATTTTAAGTTTTAATATACATATTTTAGATTTTGTTGTTATTTATTTTTAACTATTTTAATCCAGAGATACGACTGAAACCGTCGCGGAGAGTCACGTTGTAGATATGAGAATGGGGGAAATGCGCCGGCTCAGGAAAGCTAGGAACTTAACACAAACTAAACATCCTTTACTTGAAGAACTATTTGAAGAAGGATGTTTTTGCAAAACTAAACACATTTTGGATGATACATCCCACCCTCTTCATCACAGATACTTAGGATCGTGCCGATCGGGACGAATTCTTTCCATCAGGGCGAGGACTGACCGATATAAAAATTCTTTTGTTCCCCAATCTGTACGAATTCACCGGCATGCTTCCTCTGAAGTCATACATCTGAATGAGATCTAATAAGTCCCCGATTTTGCTAAGAGAACTCACTGAATGGCTGTTTGAAATAATTTATTACAAATGTCTTGTGTTCAAATTGTTTTATATTTTAGCTGAAAATGTATAATGCAATCAAAAAACCTTTCCATTTATTTGGATCAATAAAAGAATCTTATCTTATCTTAACACTAAACGTTTCTGTCATGTAGCGGCGGGCCGCAAAATATCGTCTTGTGGGTCACAAATGGCTCGCGGGCCTCGAGTTTGAGACCCCTATATTAGATGTTTTTTATCAATATTCAAGATCATGTAATTTTTTATAAAAAGAATGTGAATATTTATACTTTCCCCCATCATTTTCGATGTATACAGAATGTATGCGGGAACGAATTTCAAAATATCTAAATATTTCATTTTCAGTTTCGGCTTCGGTTTCGGCCAAAAGTCATTTTTAACTTTCGGCTTTTTTTCGGTTATGGCCGAAAGTCATTTTGAAACTTTTGGCCTATTTTCGGTTTCGGCCGAAAGTCATTTTAAACTTTCGGCTTCGGCCGAAATCAGAAAATCACTTTCGGTCGGTCTCTATCTGCTAGGCTGAGGTCATCACCGTAATGATCCTCCTCCTTACAGCTAAGAACTCCCGCAGATGCTGGACGGGCTGTTTGATGAGCTCTACTGGCTGTCTAGGGAAAACAATTTTGTCTACCGAATGCTTTCGTCCATGACCGCACATGGTCACAAGAATAAGTGTCAATCATCATCATCATGTCCCTTAGTTCTTGGACCGGTGGGGCGACACAGATGACACGTGAACTATCCTCCTCCATTTGTCTGTCTTCTGCACTATGCACAGCATCGTCTAGTTTTAGTCCTGTCCACTCTTTGATGTTATCTTCCCATCTTTTTCTTTTTCTTCCTCTTCTTCTCCATCCTCTTGTGGTTCCCTGCATGATTTCTTTGGCAAGCTCTTCTTTCCTTGTCACGTGGCCATACCATTGTAGTTTGCGCTTTTTTACAGTCGCCAGGAGGTCATCGTACTGCCCAATGGCCTAACGAACGCTTTCTTTTACTTGATCTTTGGAGATATGGTCCCTATAGCAGATGCCAATAACAGAAAATAACAGAGCTCTTCAATTACACATTTTCTTTGGATATTACAGTGTGTTCAAAAATACAAGCACATCATTAAAAACTCTTTGCTAACAGCAAACCAGATGGCTGACACTTTAGTCTCAGTTTCCGATCATTGTCTCTAAAAAAAAACAACCTTGCAACACCACACTCAGCATCATTGAACACACCCTTTGAAAGCTCTCGTAAAACCTAACACTAAAAACTTAAACCCACAAACTGACCCCACAAATTGCCCCCTACGATCTGACCCCACTAATTGCCCCCACGAAATGACCCCTACGATTTGACCCCTACGATCTGACCCCTACGATCTGACCCCTACGATCTGACCCTACGATCTGACCTCTACGAACTGACCCCACGAACTAACCCCACGAACCGACCCCATGATCTGACCCCACGAACTAACCCCATGATCTGACCCCACGAAATGACCCCTACGATCTGACTCCTACGATCTGACTCCACGAGCTCACCCCACGATCAACCCCATGAACCGACCCCATGATCTCGACTTCCTAAACCACTGCCACGGTCCACAACTTTTCATACAGACATTCACGCTCCTAAATCTAGTTCACAACAATCACCTCTCCCCTGCATGTGAAGAGTTTGGGCTGACCATCAGACTACAGACTACAAATGTCATGGAACAACAAACACTGACCCCTCCGAACACAGGTATCAAAGGCCATCAGCCGTCAGTAACTGAGAATTGTACATACTTTGTGTTTCCCATATCTCTAGCTAACTCTCCGTTGACTAAAAGGGGAACCTGAGGATGGCAAAAGCTCCAGCAACAAAGGCTAAACTGTATAGGCGGGTGTGGAGCAAAGTTAAACCCTGACAGCGCAAAACGAAGCGTCTATCAGGCATAACTGAAAATACAAAAATAATTCATGATTGACCTCCCTTGATTGACGTCCCAGGACTGACGTACCATAATAGACGTATCATGATTGACCGCCCTTGATTGACGTCCCATGACTGACGTCCGATAATTTACGTTTAACTGTCCAATGAAAAGGCAAGAACCACGCCTTCTACCATAGATAACGAGTCATCACCCAGTAGACATCATCTCAATTCCATCCTATAGTCTTAAGTTTGTACAGAGGGGAAGAATTACAAGAAAAACATCGTCACTAAACATGTCACAAATGTACTGACCAAAACAAATTTGCAGCAGATCACCAAATATGTCACAAAACATGTCAGCTATCATATCACCAAACAGGTCACAGTTGCACAACAGTAAATTATAATGCAATAAATCAACATTGGTATATATTCTTTATTATTTTAGACACATAACACATGTTTCAAGGACGTTTGTATTCGTCCAAGAAACGACATTTAATATACGTATAATCTCAGTCCTCCAGTCGAGTGTCCACTAAATGATTGTCCTCCTAGCCTCCTGACACTCTTTTCTCACACCTTGAGATCCATTGGTAGCCAGGCCTCGGCATGACCTGAGCTCTTGCACTTCGACCTGTCGTGATTGGAATCTCGTACACGTGACAGTAGGTGCCAGGCTCGCAGCTACAGTAGCCGTTCATTTTATCGAACGTCCCACAGCCACTCCCTTCTACGGTGTACTTCTGACAGGTCCCTGCAACACAATTGAAAGAGACACACAAGGGACTGATGATGTAACACAGGGAAACTGTAGAGACTAATGGTGAGACATCGCGTCATATTGATGTCTAATGGTGTGACATAGCGTCATGTTGATGTCTAATGGTGTGACATAGCGTCATGTTGATGTCTAATGATGTGACATAGTGTCATATTGATGTCTAATGATGTGACATAGTGTTATATTGATGTCTAATGGTGTGACATAGCGTCATGCTGATGTCTAATGGTGTGACATAGTGTCATATTGATGTCTAATGATGTGACATAGTGTCATATTGATGTCTAATGGTGTGATACTGGGACGGACATCAACAACATTTCAAAAAGTTCCCCTCAAGTTCCCCTCAAGTTCCCCTCAAGTTCCCCTCTCCACTTAATACATAATTTAAATGTTGCTACATTATATATTGTAACGTCAAGAAGTCTAGAATGTGGAGAGACTTATAGATATTGACCATCGATAAATAAACTGGGCGAACATCAACAAAAGACAAGACTTTTAGTAACGGACTAAAGGGGTGAGGGCAACATGGTTTTGCTTTTAAAAAATGATCTAAATTCTGCTTATTTCAACATACGATAATAAGAACAGGTGGGCGGAGTGGTCAAAGCTCGATACAGACAGAAGATACAAACAGGGGGGGGCAAAGCGACAGACATAAGAGAAAGGTACAGACAGAAGATACAAACAGGGGGCAAAGCGACAGACAGAAGACAAAGTTACAGACAGAAGATACAAACAGGGGGCAAAGATACAGCCAGAAGATACAAACGGGAGGCAAAGTGACAGACAGAAGACAACGTTATTTCAAATGCTTTCATAATTTTAGCCCCAGTAAATAATCACTTCTCACTTACCGGCCATTGGTGAATCGCAATCAGCAGCCGCCCTCTTCTTGCTGACCACCATGAACTCACTCAAGATCTGACAACACTCTCCCACGTCACACTGATCCTCCACTGCACATGGCGTACCTACCACAGCCTGGTGGATGAGGACAGGGGTTAAGGTGTTGTTGTAACTGGTGGGTCAAGGGGAAAGTTAGGATAAGTTGTAACTGGTGGGTCAGGTGGAGTTAGGATAAGTTATTACTGGTGGGTCAGGTGGAGTTAGGATAAGTTATTACGGGTGGGTCAGGTGGAGTTAGGATAAGATGTTACTGTTGGATCAGGTGGAGTTAGGATAAGTTATTACCACTAGTCAGAGTGGAATTAGGATTAGTTATAAGTGGTTGTCAGGCTTGAGTTAGGATAAGTTATTACCGGTGGCTTTTGATGTTTTAGGATTAGTTTTATATCTCCTAGTGTCGAAGGAGTTTGGAATAGTTATAACTGGTATATCGATCAAGTAGGGTTATAAGATTAATAGTCCAGGCGGGAGCTTTGCTTAGCTCAAAATGAGAGCAGTGACGTAGATGTCTTTGACATATCACAAGTTTTTCGGTGTCTACATTCAAAGTGAAAACTAGTGACGTCATATGTGAAGACCCTGGTCTTTTAAAGAAGAGTGACCTAGATTTCAATGACAAATGTTATTATTTTAAATTGCAAAATGGACGCTTATTTTATGGGAAGCTGAAAAATGTCAGTGTGAAAGTGACCGACTCATCACAAAGATGATTCCCCATAATGTTATGGCATATCTGTAGGCTTAATTTTTGTTGCCATCTCTTCTTGCCCCCCTACCCTTTTTAGTCTTGCCTTGATATTGACGTCACCGAGTAGATGTGCTGTGTCATGCCTTGCCCGCCCCATCCTTGATTGGGAAAAGATTGCTTGCATTCGAATGCGTTTTATTTGTTCTAAAGAGTGTTTTTAGTTGAAGAAATTTGTAATATTTCTTGATTAGAGAGTTCTAATTTAATCCCAATATATAGGCCGAAAGCTTTCCTAGCAAGAAGAGATTTTTTCTTTATTTCCTATCATATACTAGACGTTACATAAGTGCACTTTTGTGCTCTTTATGTGCGTTTGTAAATTAATATTTGTACTTTTCTAAGAGTGCACCTTTTCTCTTGCTGTACTGTAAGTTGATACAGTTTGTTTTTTATGTATATTTGAATTTGTAAATTTATAGAAATTTAAAATTATAGTTAAATTCAATAGGAATAGGATCACTAGCTTTGAGTTCGTTTTTCTTTGTATACTCATATTTAGTCCTTTGTTTTGTATTGTTCATTCTTGAAACAGACTCAAGTTTTTAAAACCATAATGTTACGTAACAGGAAATTTTGAATTGTGAGACGTCTGACACATTGGATGAAATCACAGTCATTAAAATGCCGCCAATTTGTGGAGTGACTGAACATAGCGTCATACAGCGCTATCTACGTCATACAGTGCTACCTACGTCATACAGTGATACCTATGTCATACAGCGCTACCTATGTCATAAAGTGCTACCTATGTCATACAGCACTACCTACGTAATACAGTGCTACCTACGTCATACAGTGCTACCTACGTCATACAGCGGTACCTATGTCATACAGTGCTATCTATGTCATATAGCACTACCTACGTAATACAGTGCTACCTACGTCATACAGTGCTACCTACGTCATACAGCGGTACCTATGTCATACAGTTCGACCTATGTCATACAGCGCTACCTATGTCATATAGCACTACCTAAGTCATACAGTGCTACCTACGTGATACAGGGCTACCTACGTCATACAGTGCTACCTACGTCATACAGCGATACCTATGTCATACAGCGCTACCTATGTCATTAAGTGCTACCTACGTCATACAGCGCTACCTACATCAACGAGAAAAGTTAGTCTGAGACCATTAACAAAACATTACGATAAAAATGATGAGATGGCTGACTTACATAAGCTCCAGTAGATAACCATGCTAGTGTAAGTAATAGAAACAAATACATTTCTGTGAGAGATTATCCTAACCGGATGATTCAACGGCAACGCTATTGGATGATTGTCAAGCTTGGCTATTTGATCGTAGACAATGTCAATGCTGATGGTTGAACGCTGAACATGGACTGAGGGTCGTACGTTGTGGTTGAAACGAGGGTACATGTTTTGAACGAAACTCCGTGTGCATACTGGATGAAACCGGTGGGATTTTGGAGTGTGAGACTGGATTAAGACAACAGAAAGATCAAAGGAAAACGTCGAAAACAAGTAATTAGTTAGTCTTATAACCGCCACTTGTTTTCCCTTGGTTTGTTGCAGCAGATTTCCCCTAGAGCTTGTCATTGTAATGAGGTTATACTAGAAGATATGACCCCGTTTTTACCCGGGGGGTAATGGAAGGCATATACTGCGCTACTTTATATCTGCTGTTGCGAAGTCTCACCATGTAATCAAAGAAAAGTAAACAAAGCAATTCTTAAGTACTGTATCCTCAAAATAAATTACGGAAACCAATACCCTTATTTATTTTTTTTGAAACGTATATTTAGTAAAAAGTAAACCAGACCTACCTAATTTTTAAAGAGACATCTATTTATAGACGTTAGCATTTCTAGCATCATTGTTGTTTTGAGAAGTTTTGATCTTCTACATAACATAAACCTATCTAAACACCTTTTCAAGCATTTGAATTAAAATGAAAACATAATTTCTTTTAAAAAAATGTTAAAATGTGTCCTTCAATTAATCCAATAATCCATTTTCCTTTTAATGTATCCGTCACATTAACGGATTGGACATTTCATTTAAAATGTACCCAAACTTTTGCTCCAACCCTGAGCTTTATACTTTGAAATGCATAAAATACCCAGTTCTTGTATATTTAAATAAAAATTGCTAAAGCGAATTGAACGTCGGTCACACCCTTGTGTGTTTTTAGGACTAGTTTTAAAAACATAAATATGTTGTCGCTCTTTTAGCTTGAACTTCACCTTACGCAAACTGGAACATGCCTTAAATTCATAATTTGAAAGATAATCTTAAACCCACCGTTGTGCACGCCCCTGAGCTGTATCATGGTGGAATGAAGAGAATAATATGGCTCTATTTTTTAGATTACAGTTTCTTGCGTGTAAAATATTTGATTTTGAGATTGTTATCCACTCAATAATGTACTCTCTCTCTCTCTCTCTCTCTCTCTCTCTCTCTCTCTCTCTCTCTCTCTCGTTATTGAAAAAAATATATGTTCATGAAATGTTTGAAATACATTTAGTAAATATACAAATATTGTTATCCTAAATAATATGTCTCTATTTTTTATATTACAGTTTCTTGCGTGTAAAATATTTTTTTTTGAGATTGTTATCCACTCAATAATGTACTCTCTCTCTCTCTCTCTCTCTCTCTCTCTCTCTCTCTCTCTCTCTCTCTCTCTCGTTATTGAAAAAAATATATGTTCATGAAATGTTTGAAATACATTTAGTAAATATACAAATATTGTTATCCTAATAAATACATGCCCACACCTCATAGTTTCCCCTGAACTTGGTCTTTGAAAAATGGGAAAATCATGATGTCCTTATTTCCAAAGAAAATCTTATCCATTATTTTTCCCTTTCCAGCTTCATTGAGTTTTGAAGTATTGTTATCATAATGTAAATGTGTCCACATTGTGCCACCGCCCTGGAACTGTATATTCCTATATTTATTGTTGCAAAATTATCTATATACCGATTTCAGGTGTGTAACACACTTGGACTTTGAGATACCTCTATACTTATCAAATAATCCCCACATACTGTGGCGTAACTTGTGCTGCCTTGGACAAAATCAAAAAAATTCAACCCCCCCCCCCCCCACTTTTCCACATACACCAATCATTGTATTAAGTTGTTAATAAGCATTCAAAAGCTACCCCGCGATGGCAACCCCCCTCCCTCCAGGAATGCCACCAGATATGCCACGCCCCTAAACTATAGAGACATTGTAAAGCCACACCCCTCCCTCCAGGAATGCCACCAGATACGCCCCTAAACTATAGAGACATTCTAAAGCCACACCCCTTTCAACGCGCTACGAACCACATTACTAAAAAAAAAAGTTGAACACACATTTCAATAATGTGGATATTTAGATTTCAATCGGGAGATATTGACATTAGTATACTAGTCAAAGCCCGCCTAATATAGGCCAAAGCAATGCTTGAACTTCCCATCTGCTAAAGTTACTTGACAAAACATGAACTCAAGTCACGCACATTTAACAATCAAAATGTTTGCTACATCCCTACACCCCCTCCCCCCAAATGATACGTCACTGCACACTTTTTGTTTCACGCCCATGAACTATATCAAATATTCTTATGTCCCAACCACTTTGAAACCGAATATTTATTACAGCATACTTGAATAGAGACGATTTTTTTTTCCGAAAAAAAAATATTACGCGCCAAACGCAGTTGCGTTATTAAAAAAAAAATATATATTTGTTTGCGTAGTTATCGGGAATTATATTTTGCGCGCTAGTAAACTCATTATTGAACCATATTCTCTTTCAAACATTTAGAATTATTTGTGATATACTCTCAATACCAAATACACTGGATAGGAAGCAGTCAGAAACGGAAGCTGTCCACGAGTCACACCAGAAGCGTGACATTTATAAGAGAAACTAGTCAATCTACCCAGCGTTTATCGGGTTTGCCTTCGGAGAAGACCTCAAAAGCTTATGAGCGGACTCTCAATTTCAAACTCTTTCAAACACACGTCGCTAGAAAAACAGATACATTTTTTTTTAAAACTCCTATAAACTAACCATACTTTTCAATAACCCATAGAACCATTAAATATACGTTCAGGAGCATTTCGGTTAAAAACCATGTTTGAAAGGCGAATCGAACGTTTTTGAAAGAAGTATTTATACAAAGAAGAACTGTTTCACCAATACCAATACCACGGTGGCTCCTCCATTAAAATGAAATAGAATTCCAGGCAGAAGCCGATTCCAAAACGTGTTATTTCAATTATCCTCAAGAAAGCGATTCCATAAAAGTCATCATTTTTTTTTTTTCAAGCCTCGGCAAATCTTGTTAGACTATTTATTGACTTCATCCCACGTGAGC